GTGCTCTGCACCCAGGCTACATGGAGGCTGCATGTTACAGGAGCCATGTATCCCTGAAGACTTGGAATAATTCGAGATTTACATAAACTCAGAGTGATCCTTCCAAAGCGTGACAGTAACTGTGTTCCATGACTGGAGTGGCTCCTCCAGATGCCAGCAGCATAAACCTACTTTTCACCTCACTCAGTCTGCAGCTCAGAAATACTAACTGATTCTAGACAGGCTTTTAAATGTAATATGTTGAATTACTACATAGTGTACATAAATTAAGACTTTACATTTCCAAGCTGCTATTTAGAATGCATACAAGGCAAATTCATGTAGACCACAGTTCTTTGGGTTTCTGCTTTCCTGAAGCCTCTACCATCTGCAAGCAGCCTGATACCTGACAGAGCCAGATGCTTGTACTCATATTCATCCAAGGTCTTGGCTTCCCACCCCAAGCCCTAGCCTGGCCCCTCTCAACTTAGTAAAGACCTGTGAGGAGACCTTAAAGAACTCACTGGGTAGGAACAGGCTCAGAAGGCTATTTGGAGGTGGCAGAAATAGAACAGAGCTTTGAAGGATGGGCTAGGCCAGGGGAGACCTAGTACAAGTCTCTTGGCCTCTCTGGGCTTCAGGTTCTTCACCTGTTCAACCAAAGGCATGAAGCAAAAGCCTTCTCAGGTCCCTTTCACCTCCACTGCTCTATGTCTTATGATAGCTTAAATCAACTCCTTGATTTTACCTATACAGCCCGGGGGTCCCCTGGTCATACAGCCAGCACACAGTCTAGAACCTAACCTCCTGACTTAGTAAAGATTCATGAGGAGACCCTGAAGAACTCACTGGGCAGGAACAGGCTCAGAAGGCTATTTGGAGATGATAGAAATAGAATAGATCTTTGAAGGATGGGTTAGGCCAGGGGAGACAGAAAGGGGAGAGAGGCTATGGGATTCAGCCCAGAATGCTTCAGGGCCACTGATTAGGCAGTCTCAGGTATGCGCGCAGAGGGTTGGAGGAAATTTTTAGGGAAAATTATATTTCTGCTTTCCCCATGGCTAGGGATGGTTCCTTCAGACATCTGTTTTGGCTTCATTAGAAGGGACAGAGATGCTGTTTTATATATTTTTGCATTTCCAGAGCTCAGCACAGTAGCATATGGCAGGAAGGCAATAAACATTCATTGGATGATTGAGTGGGTGAGTGAAAGCATCACACAGGTTCACAAGATACTTGTCCTGCTTAAGTGCTGATTTGTCTTCCAACATTTTATTATGATAAATTTCAGACCCACTGAAAAATTAAAAAAATTGTGCTGTGATCACACAATATATTCTCCACCTAAATTCTAAATTTTACGGCTTATTATGTAGGCTTTTTCATGTATCTAGCCATCAGTTCAACTGTCTATGCATCCATCCCTTGTATTTTTTTGATGCATTGCAAAATTGCAGACACAAATATGCTTTACCCCTACTCATTTTAGCATGCACATCATTAACTAGAGTCCAATATTTGTTTGCATCTCTGTTTCCTTTTTACAATTAAAAACATTTAATTATGCCAAAGCAGACATAACATCAAACTTACCATCCTAACCATTTTAAGTGTATGGTTCAGTGGCATTAAAAATATTCACATGCTGTGCGGACATCACCACCATCCATCTCTAGAACTCTTTTCATCTCGCAAAACTGAAGCTCTGTATTCATTAAACAGTAACTCCCTCATTCCCCTCTCTTCCTAGCCCCTGGAAACCACCACTTTACTTTTTGTCTCTATGAAGTTGACGACTCCATATACTTCATATAAATGAAATAATACACTATCTGTCCTTTTGTTACTGGCTTATTCCACTCTGTATTTGCTCCAGGTTTATTCATGTTGTAGCATGTGTCAGAATTTCCTCCCTTTTTGGCTGAATAATATTTCACTGTATGTCTATATCACACTTTGTTTATCCATTTACATTTGTCATTGGACACTGGGTTGCTTCCACCTTTTGGCTGTTGTGAATAATGCTTCTATGAACATGGGTGTACAAGTATCTGTTGAAGTCTCTGCTTTTGATTTTTGGGGTATATACCCAGAAGTGGAATTGCTGGATGATATGACAATTCTAATGTTTTAGGAGCTTCCATACTGTTTGCCACAGTCAACGCACATTTGCCATTACCACCAGTAATGGACGAGTTTACATGTTTATGCATCTTCCCAACATGTTTTTATTTTGTTTCATAGTAGCCACCCTAATGGATGTGAGGTGGTGTCTTAGTACATTTTTGTGCTACTAGAAAGCAATGTCTGAGGCTGTGTTCCATGGTGAGCAGGCCTATGCAGACCTACTCCCAAAGGCCAAGGGAGATGAAAGGCCAAAGGAAGAAGCTGACAAATCCAATTTCTTAGAAAAAAATATTTAAGAGTTTATGAACAGAAGCCATGTCTTGGGCAGCCATAAGATAAGACAGTGGATTCCCACCCTGTTAGCCCCCAGACTCAGGGCTTATATACCATAATGAATTTGCCTAAGGACAGGGTTAATGGTAAATATGTGAAAGTAGACATCTTAGAGGCATTTTCAGAACTGAGGTTAATGAGAAGTCAACATGGCAGATTAGCATCCAAGATGGAGTTGCTTTAGCCTCCACAGACTGGGTAATTTAGAAAGAAAATAGGTTTATTGGTTCATGGTTCTGAAGGCTGTGGAAGAAATATGGTGTCAGCATCTGCTTCTGGAGAGAGCTTCAAGCTACTTCTATTCATGGCAGAAGGCGAAGGGAGCCAGTGTGTACAGAGATCACATGGCCAGAGAGGAGGAAAGAGATGAGGGGAGGTGCCAGGCTCTTGTGAACAGCTCTCATGGGAACTGATAGAGAACTCACTCATTCCCTTGCCTAGGGAATTAGTATGTTTATGAGGAATCTGCCCCCTGAACCAAACACCTCTTATTAAGCCCTACCACACACTGAGGGTCAAATTTCAACATGAGATTTGGAGGGGTCAAACAAGCTGAATCATAGCAGGTGGTAGCTCATTGTGGTGTTGATGTGCATTTCTCTAATGATTAGTGATGTTGAGCACCTTCTCATGCGCCTTTTGGCCACTTGTGTGTCTTCTTTGGAGAGAAATGTCTGCTCAAAGTCCTTTGCCTCTTTTTGCCTTTTGAGGTAAAATTTGGATATAATAAGGTGTACAAATCTTAAGCGTGCCATTAGATGAGTTCTGACAAATGCATCTCAAACTCTGTCGAGGTACAGAACATTACCATCACCCCAGACAGTTCCTTCAGATTCCTTCTCTCAGTCATCCAGTCCCCCCCTCCTCGACACAACCACCATCCTGGTTCTTAAAAGTCTGTCAGTCGGGTGTGGTGGCTCAAGCTTGTAATCCCAGCACTTTGGGAGGCTGAGGTGGGTGGATCACGAGGTCAAGAGATCGAGACCATCCTGACCAACATGGTGAAACCCCGTCTCTACTGAAAATACAAAAATTAGCTGGGCATAATGGCGTGTGCCTATAGCCCCAGCTACTCGGGGTCTCTACTGAAAATACAAAAATTAGCTGGGCGTGGTGGCATGTGCCTATAGCCCCAGCTACTCGGGGTCTCTACTGAAAATACAAAAATTAGCTGGGCGTGGTGGCATGCATCTGTAGTCCCAGTTACTCATGAGGCTGAGGCAGGAGAATTGCTTGAACCCAGGAGGCAGAGGTTGCAGTGAGCCGAGATTGTGCCACTGCACTCCAGCCTGGTGCCTGGTGACAAAGTGAGACTCTGTCTCAAAAAAAAAAAAAAAAAAAGTCTGTCATAGATTAGTTCTGCCTGTTATAGAACTTGAACTATGTGGATTCACATGGTATGTGCTCTTTTGCGCCTGTGTTCTTTCACTCGGCATAATGGTTTTGAGATTCAGCCATGTTCATTCCTTTTGATCGCTGAGCAGTATTCTTTTGCATGAATGGGTCAGAGTTTCTTTATTCTTCTGTCGATAGACTGGGTTATTTCCAGTTTGGGGATATAATGAATAAAGCTTTTTAAGAGCTTATGTTTTATTGTAACAAAAGCAAAATGTCATGAGCTTGAAGCCTTGATAAAAATCTCCCACTAAGCCTAATATCCTTTTGGATAGAAAAATAAACAAATCAATAAATTCTACCCTTTGTGGAGGACTTATAATGTGCCTGGCTGTCTGCTGAGAGTTTTTCTTCCATCAATCATTTCATTTAATCCTCACCCCCCCAGTTTCCAGATGAGTAAACAAAGGTTTACAGCAGGAAACTGACTTGCCCAAACACTGATAGCCTGCATGTGGAAGACCCTATTTTGCCTTTTAGGATGTGCTGTATCAGTAGTGATCCCAAGGCCAAAAAAAGAGGAGTATGGTGTTTTGCTTTCTCAGTTATCACACTTTGTTATGATACTGATGTCATTTTTATTTGCCCTCTGTGATGAGCATTAATTATATTATGGGAAAGGGGAGAGCCAAGGATCACAACTTTAGACATAAAGACCATCCTCTTACTAAGAAATCTTTGGAGACAGCAAGGAACTTAAAAAAATTAATGGTACATTAAAAAAATCTTTTCTATTACAAAGTATTAGAAAATAAAAGCACCAAAAATAAGTGCCTGATCAGCTTGTTGTCCATATATAAAAGTACATATGACCAAATTGGAAACTTTTGGCAGAAAACTTGTAGAGAAAGGAAGGATTTATTGGAGTTTACCTAGTGTACACAAAGTGCCAGGAAAGCCCCCTGTAGGTAACTTACTCAGTTTAACTCATTCCAGCTTCCCGGCAGCCTCAGTAGCCATTTTCCCTTTCTTTTTTAGCAATGGAACTCCTGGCTTTTAGCTAGACTTGTGGTCTCCCAGAAAAAAAAAAAAATTCGCAGCTTCCTGTGATGGCTAGGTTTGGCATGTGACTGATTTGACCAATGGGATGTCAACTGAAGGGTCCTGTACGACTTCCAGGAAGGGAGTGACCTTAAAAGGACATGTGCCTTTCTTTGTCCCTTTCACCTTTCAGATGAATGAAAGCAAAAGCAGTGGCTGGAGCTAGGGCAGCTATTTAGAACTATGAGGTGGAAGAAATGTGGCGACAATAACAGAACAGAAATATAGGAATCCTGGGTATCCGATGACCACAGAGCCGCCATACAAACTCTGGACTGTAATTTCCAGAGACTGTTTGTGTGAGAGAGAAACATACTTCTCCTGTCAGGCTACATTACTTCGTGTTTTCTGTCAGTCCTGATATAGGAGGCAGTCTTCCCATTTTACAGATGAAGAGACAGAGTCTCGTTTCCATAGCTGGTGTGTACTTTAGTTCCTCAAGGATAGTAATGCCCCACCCTTGAGGTTGGTTAATTCACTCAACTCCCAAAGCTGATAATGTTGAAGTGCCAAAAAAAAGTGTTCCCTTCAGGTTTCACTCACTGGAGCGATGTCATGTGCCCACAGATATGAAAACATGCCACTGAAGGTTAGCCCTGGAGGGACTTTAAGCCAGCTCTCAAAGAACAACAGATCTGGTTTTGTGACTCTGGGTAAATTACCATCCAAGCCTCAGTTTCCTCTTCTCTAAAAAAAATACAGTTTCTTCTTCTCTAGAATGGGAAGGAGAGTAAAATTCCCTGCAACAGAGTTGCTGGGAGGACCTAGTAAGAGGATGCACACTGCCTGGCCCTGACCAAATGACCAGTAAGTGGGAGTTTTTACTATTAGTCCCTGGGGCTGGGCTGGAATCAGAACCCCTGCTTATTTCTTTCTCTGTATCTTCCTTTCTTTCATTTTGGAGATTCCCCTCTCCAGCCTCTGTCCCCAAACAATACAGAACAAACATCCCTTTTCTCCTTGCAGACTGCTCCCCAGGCTGCCCTGAGCTGTGTCCACACAAATCCCTCCTACGATCAGCTGCACCCTAGGCTCAGCTGGAAAATAAAACACGCATTGCATGGTTGCCAAACCCTAGCCATGAGCCTCAGTTTTCAAGCACCAGGCAGGTTTTTCAAGAAAACTGGTGTTCCTAAAATCAGGACTTGCATTTCCTACATTTCCACTGCTCATTCTCAAAAAATGTTGGCTCAAACAAATAAACCCAAATCCACGAGGCAGCAAAATTAGTCTTCAAAGTCCTCCTGTAAGTTAAATGCCCTCTCAAAGGTTCCTGCAGAATCCACACTGAGGTCCCTGTGGGGCCATTCTCTGTGGGTCTGCTTCAAGCAGAGGAGGCTCCAACACAAAGCCTCTGTTTGGGTGTGATTGTCCAGCCTCTGTTGTCTGTCAAATGAATCCTTCCTATATGATAATGAATACTGCACAGATTAATGCAGTGGATCCCCACCTATAGACCAGGAGACTCTTCTGGGGAGACACAGAGGTTTTGCAAGATGATCTTCAAATCCATCGATATGCCTGTTTTCCACAGACCACAATCTCTTCTGCATCTCCCACAGTGTTCTACCACTATATTTAAAATGTGTGTGTATTTGTGTGTATATATATGTGTGTGTGTGTATAAATATATATGTGTGTATATATATATAAATATATGTGTGTGTGTGTGTGTGTATATATATATATATATATATATAATTGCAAGTGTTAGATAATCAATAGACACGAACTATCATGCTAGGTTAACCAACTCCGAGCTTAATGCCATTCAACAAGAACTTCCTAGAAACAGTTCCATAGCTAGTGACCCTCAAGGTGGAGCTTCAGACAACCAAAACAAGTCAGGGAATGGATACTTGGAGGCCAGGAGACCATCTGGCCACATTCAAAACAGGTTTAGATGGAAGCTGGGCTTGGGTGCAGTCCAACTACACCGAGAAACAGCAACCCAAAGCCTTGGGTTGGGGCTGCTTGTGCCCAGAGAGCACAGCATGACCACCTCCTCCACTTCCCTAGTGTGGGAAGGAGGGTCAGGACCCAGGTGCATCAAGCACCCAGTACCCAGCTATCACAGCCGCAGGCAGCAGGGAGACATAGCAGAAAGGGTGAGGGAAGTAGCAGTGGGAATGTGTGTGAGCAGGAAAGCTACCCACCCTCTCATTTCAGCCACAGTTATCTAACTGCAAGCAACAGAAATCCGCTCTGGGCAATCTAAGCCAGACAGGAAGATACTGAAGAACCAGAACTCAGAGAGGGAAGAAGGGGGATTGTGGAAGAAGACACTTTGAGGGAGAGATGAATCTTTGCCAAACATTTTCTATCTGCTTGTTTCTTAATCAAGATTTGGGTACTTTGGGAAGAGGATATGACTGGCTGGGGGAGAGCAGGTAAGTGGTAGCTTCCCGGCATCTGTCCACCAACATGGGGGGAGAAAGCAAGTCCCTCACAGAAAGCCAGGATGCTGGCCCCAGAAAAAGTGGGAAGGATACACATCTGAGCATGGAGAGGACAGAAGTGTCTCTTCTGTCTCTCTGGGACTGCATCTTTTCATCTGTAAAATGGGAACAACTGTGACTATGTTATGAAAATTTAATGAGATAACACAGAGCACAGTGTGGCTTATGGGACCTGCCTAATATGTAACAGCCTCCAGATTTTTTTCCCAGAGAATGAAGATACTGTTATTGCCTCTACAAAGAATGCATCCCAGCACAGATCAAAGATCTTGCAAGTCCAACCATGCCATTTTACAGTTCTGAACCTCAACCTAGAGAAAGCAGTGGATCTTTATACATTGGACACAGCACTTCCCTCTAGGGTGATAAAAAATAAACCCAGTTTTGCATAGGTCCTTTTCTGTACGCAAGGGCTCTGGAGGATGTGAACCCCAGGGCCAATCCATCTGAAGTCAAGGTTAATAGGGCTATTATACTAAAGATGTGGTATTAAAGAGCTCCCTCTGGCACCATGTCCTTTATAATGGATGGCCAATTGCCCACTGAGGAAAATACTGCAGCTGGAGCAATTACATTCCCAAAGCATATCATTTTGTTTTTATTCCCACTGACAAATACATACCTCTTTTCTTTAAAAAAAAGAACATGACTCTTGGTCAAAGTTACATTTTGCCCAGATATTTTTCAACTTTTGGGATTGCACATTTCAGTCTGGATATGGGCACTAACCAGGCCCTTCCTGATGGATGGGCTTGGCTGTTTTCTCCATGGTTTCTTGGCTTGAATTTTTGCCAATTTTTGCTTAGTGCTTAGTTTTGACATCTTCTTTCCATCAAACCGATGTTTCTGTTGCTTTGCAATGTCACTTTTTCTCCATCAAAAGCATGAAATTTGACCAATTATTTACCGATACAGTTATGGAAAGATGGAGCTATGGCATGTTACAAGTTTCAAAATCCATCTCTGGTTAATTTGTTTGAAATAATTGAGTCTATGATATGGCAGATACCAATTATATGACAAACTTTTCAGGGTTTTTTTTTAAATGTTAAAAATAAAGCGATAATCCTGTCCTTAGTGTATTAATAATTTTGGTTTTCATCCTAAGAACAATGGGAAGACACTAATCTTTGGCAGAGGATAAAGTGGCTGGATTCATGTTTTAACAGATCTCTGTAGCTATTGAAAATGAACTGGAGAAGATGAGTGGGTGTGAGAAGAGGGTAACGGAATCAGATCAAAACCTGTCACGTTACTATGAGCAGGAGATGAGGCAGCCGGGACCAAGATGATGGTGGAGAGAAGAAAATCACTTGAGAGAATTGATTAAACTAGGTGGTTAGCACAGATAGAGCTGAATAAAAAATTAAGATAGTAAGCTAAATAGTTTTACACCTGAAAAGGCAGAGTTGCATTCATAATTAGTCTCTTCTTCAGACTGTATATTACAGCCAAAATACAGTCATTGGTGTGGCAATCACTTTCTTTGGACTTGTATCCAAGGTCAAGAATGTCAGCCTCTAAAGGCCCCAAATCTTAACGTTTTTAGATGATAACGTTTATTTAAGGTAGAATAATTTAGCCTTCCGCAAATTTCATTGTGGAAGAATGAAAAATCCATTGTCCCTCTTCTCTGCCACAGACACACTTCAGCTGAACATTCAGCATATTTATTAAGGAAACCTTCTCTTTGTGCTTTTTCTCCCAAGATGGTTGGTATTCTAGAGTTCTAAGTGTCAGAATCAAGAATGCCCATGAGGTTGAATTATATGATGTTTTAGCAAAGTCAGATAAACATTCTCAGAAACAAGATTGTGACTTTAAAAAAAAAAAACCACTTTCTATAGAGGAAACTATGGGGACAGAAACTTTCCTTTATAATTTTTACAGCTGCATGCAGATAAAGAATATGAAAAAGGCACAACACATCAATTGCTAAAACATGGCTATACTTTAAGAGAACACAGACTTTTTCCAGATCCATCTTACATCTCAGGAATTCTAGATCAAGACACAAATGAGTGTTTTTGTTGCTAAAATCCCTCTAATTTCCTTCTTGTTAAACACTTCACCTCGGCAACAGTATAGATTAGCACAAAAAAATTGTTTGAAGGTGAAAAACTGTTTGGAAAAGGACACCTTAATAGCCAGGCTATCTACTTACAAATAAAAGCCAATTCTGGCTCTCCTGGATGAAAAGAAGAGTGATTGGAGGATATCTGGGGCTAACTTGGTTTTAGGCTGGGGGAAGGGTCTCAGAACCCAGGAGTCCTAAAGAGGGCCATGGTACAGGAACTACCTGACCCGAGATTCTCCTCAGTCTGAGATGTACCGCGGTCAATACTTGCCCCATGTTTACAGGATTCAGAGTCTTCAGGGAAAGTTGAGCCCAAGCGGTAGAGTCTTCTTCCCTGGCTGTGTTCCCACCCCACAAAGCCCCACACAATGGAAAATCCCTCAAGTGGAGGCAGTCCCAGAGCGAAGTGGAGGACAGGCAGCCTCCAAATGATCACTGTGGTCCAGGGCTCCTGTCCCCTCTACGGCCACCTCGCAAGTTGTTCTTTACTAGGTTCCTTTTTAAATGTGATAGATTTATCCAAAACAGTTATGAATTCAGATCCTACCAATTTGATATTACAAGAACTCACAATGGGGAAGGAATGGAGTTTAACAATAATATTGACAAAGAAAAAGAAAGCTTTTTTTTTTTTTTGAGATGGAGTTTCGCTCTTGTTACCCAGGCTGGAGTGCAATAGCGCTATCTTGGCTCACCGCAACCTCCGCCTCCTGGGTTCAGGCAATTCTCCTGCCTCAGCCTCCTGAGTAGCTGGGATTACAGGCATGCGCCACCATGCCCAGCTAATTTTTTGTATTTTTAGTAGAGACGGGTTTCACCATGTTGACCAGGATGGTCTCGATCTCTTGACCTCCTGATCCACCTGCCTCGGCCTCCCAAAGTGTTGGGATTACAGGCGTGAGTCACCACGCCCGGCCCTAAGAAAGCTTATGATAAATAAAATGTATCAATACAATGAAAGATTAACTACTTAGTTAACTGTTTGGGGACGCTGATGAATTTATTGAGAGTCAAACCACCTAAGTAGTGAGCTACTGGGGCTGAAATTTTGGCTTTCTGTCTTTTTTTTTTACAGACAGGGTCTGGCTCTGTCACCCAGGCTGGAGTACAGTGGCAGGATCATGGCTCACTGCAGCCTCCAAATCTTGGGCTCCAGCAATCCTCTGGTCTCAGCCTCCCAAATAGTTAGGACTACAGGTGCATGTCACCATGCCTGGCAAATTTGTTTAACTTTAATTTTGGTATAGGCAGGGGCTCACTATGTTGCCCCAGCTGGTCTCAAACTTCTAGCCTCAAGTTATCCTTCCACCACAGCCTCCCAAAGTACTAAGATTACAGTCATAAGCCACTGTGCCTGGCCTTTCTTTATCTGTTAAAATTTAGCATCTAAGTGGCAGCCTTAAAATGTATTTCTAAGCTGCTTGTGAACAATTCAGTTTGATTTTTTTAAGAAAGGAAGAAGAAACCCAGTTATTCAGACCTTTCACTAACTCAAGCTTTCCTTCTTACCAATAAGCCCCTTTTAAGATGGTCCCAGCCTGGGCATGGTGGCTCAAGCCTGTAATCCAAGCACTTTGGAGGCCAAGGCAGGCAAATCACCTGAGGTCGGCAGTTCAGACCAGCCTGACCAACATGGTGAAACCCTGTCTTTATTATATTATATATATTATAATATATATTATATAATATATGTTATATTACATGTATATTATATATATATGTTATATATAAATTATATATATAAAAGATGGTCCCTTGCATCTTCATTAATGTTTCAGCAAGAAGGACTACTTACATCTGCATAACATTTTTCAAAATATTTTCATGGTTATTATCTTACCCAGTTTCTACCACTATAAGGTATACAAGGTAGAAACATCATTTCCATTTTACAGACCAGGATCCCGACACAGTAGTATCCTTCCCCAAGTCAAACCCCAGTAAGTACCCCGTGTTGCTATGCTTTTTTTTTTTATAACCCACCCCTTATTACTGTTCCAGAAGCAAATCCAAAATCTATAACAATGAAAGAAATCAATGCCAAGTCTATTCATCAACAAGCACTTCCCGAGCCCTGCCGTATCGTTATGGACAAAGCTAACCTGCTGTAACAAAGAACCCTAAGTGCCATGGCTCAAGCAAATTAGAAGTTTGTTTCTTTCACCCAATGGTCCAGAGGTCAGTACAGGGACCCAGGTCTGTTTTAGCTGCTCTACCATCTTCTACGGCAGGATTCCCAAGTTTTTTCAGTTCACAGTTCCCCTAGTATCTCAGTAATTTTTTCAAGGCATGTACAGGTCAAAAGAAATACCCCAGGAAATTCGTTTATGAATTAGTCAGGTCCAAAAAATTTAACAATTATTTATTCCTGAAAACATAGTCACCATTTCAGGAAAAAATAACACAGATTGAAATAAAAATACATTCACTTTATTTTTAAATGATCACAATTTGTGAATAATGGGCAGTGTGTGCCTGCTGAGCACTGAACAACTACTCAGACCTTGGACTCAGATTGGATACTACCATCGTCATTTTCTATTTCACATAGATTTTTTTTCACAATGCATTTTTTAAAATCATAGCAACTGTCTGAAACTCAGACACTGTGCAAAACCACTAGTTTTGTGGTTTTGCACAGTATCTGCCAGATGTCAGTGAGCTTCCTTCAAAAATCTCAACTATCTTGTGGTGCTCCTGTGTGTTCACTGAGGCACCTCAGAGAGCCTCAGCACACAATTTGAGAACCAAGGGGATAAAGTCACCATGCTATGCCTAGACATGGCTCTTCTGGAGGAGCAATGCCTCTGACCACCCTGGCAGCCACTTCCTCTGTCCTTCCCAGGCTCCTGTATCATGGCAGGAAGACCAAGCACTAGTGATTTGACCAGCAATTTCCCAGCTATCATTCCTCAGCCAGGAGGAACCAAGCTTCCCCATCCAGTTTTCCTTACTCTAGTGAGAAGCCAGCAGCAAACCCCAACCCATTTAAAAAGTAAACCCGATGATTTGCAGGCTCCTGCGCATATTCTGAAATTACCTACATTCCTCTCATCCTGTGCTCATGGGCATATGACATAGATAAGACTGAAAACTGGATTGAATTGTGAGGAAAGAACAAGTTTCCCCAGCTCCCAAACATGTTCCCTTCGAATACCAAAAACTATGTGTGTCTTAAATGGCAGGGGGTGGAGGACAATCTATTCGAATTAGATGTTACGAAGACATCCCAGGCTCCTCCTGGGGAAGGAGATCTGAACCATCAGGCATCTCAAGAACTGCTTGGTGGTGAGGTGGTGTCGAGGCAACTCAGAGCGGTGAGTGCCACACACAGCCTCCACGCAGATGGGTGAGAAGTCTGTCTCTGACTAGGAGTGAATTTGGTTCCACTTCAAACCCTTATTCTACTGGTTGGTAGAAACGAAATCTCAGGCAGTTTAGTCTTTCCCATGATGTTACACAGAGCAATATGAAATCGCTGCTATATGATCATTTCTAAGCTATAAAAACAGTAACTATATGGCCCAGATGACAATTGATCTCCATCAGTCCCAGGGTTTGTGACAGTCATGATCCCAGGGGTCACCTAGTTTCCATCATCACCCACTCTGTTGCACCTCTGAGACGTCCTCGCTGTCCTGTGCTCTCCATCATTGGTCCATGAAGATCTTCTCTGCCCTAGCCCCACCAGCAAGGGCTCCCTGAGGCTGGAGTGAATCTTCTCAGCAATTCCCATATACCCCTGGGGTGTTGCTGTGAAAGGTCTGTGCCAAGAATGAGGCACAGTCCCCTTTCTCAGTGACATTTACCAACAGCCAAACTCTCATTGTCCCTACGTCTCTCTTCTCTCCCACTGTCTGGAATGAGAAGAACCAGCTCTTACAACTTCATTTGCTCTTCCGAGTCAATTGCTTCTGGCATCAACTTAGTACCTCAACTCCATGAAGGCTAGCATTTTAAGCTCCTGCATCTCAAAAGCTTTGGCGTGAGAACAGAAAACATGAACTTCTCTTTGTATGCCCCAGCATCCCTCCTTTTAGACAGTGGATACCTCCCAGCAGAGTTCCAATGGGAGAAAGCCCTCGGGTGAAAATCATGAGGAAATCAGGACTCGCACATCACCTTGCCGTGCAGCCAGTGCCTGGCTCCTCTCATGCCCAGGTCTTGTCTGGGTGTGTGGGATGCACCTGATGGGGAGCCAGGAGACTGGCTGAGGGACAGTCCTGACCTCACATTTCCAAGTTGTGCAACCCTGGGCAAGCCACTGAGCTCCCTTCAAACATCAGTTTCCTCGGGCCCTCAGAGTTAGAAAACATACTGGCAGCAAATCTAAGGCTCATTCTGTGTGGTCAGATACAGTCAAGCAGAGAGAGAAACATCTTCCAGAGTCAATGAAAATGTAACTACCTCCTGTTGCATTAGGAGTAGCAAGACGAGATGGCTTTGTAAAAGCTTGGAGATAGTACTTTTGAAGCTATCTGTGTATACTTTACTCCCTTTCATAGACCCCTTCAGGCAGACCAGAAGAAAAAAGATACAAAACTCATTTCTGGCCCAGTTCCTGCCTGATCAGATGTAAGATGTGGTGATATGCCCATTTTCCCACTCAGCTGTATTCCTGTTTATTCCTGTGAACACATGGTCCCTGCAATTGGCAATGATTTTTTCTTTGTTATATTTACCTTCCTTTCAGGGGCCGGCCCAGACTCCTGGGTGGAATCATTTCCCATTGAATTACCAGGAAAGGGCAGAATCTGATTGGAAGAACAACGCGGACGAAAGCTCAGTTCCCAGGCCCTCACACAAGGGACTCTGTCCTCCCATCTATGTCAGAGCCTGGGGGCTGTGAGGGAATTGAAACGGGACATCCTGTCCCCTCCACCAACATTCTTTCCCCACCAAGCAGAGACATGTTCTTTTGTGTTCTCACACAATTCAGACTAGGTGGAGCAGCCTGTGTGGCAGGACTGGAAAGACCCCACTGAACAGAAGTGTCCCCTTCTCCCTCGCCGACACCGTGGGGTGAGAGAGAGCCCACCTGTCAGCCCCCTGCTTTGGGATGTTTCTGCCATGGTCCTTTTAAAGATGGTGTATTCTGGGCATGGGTTGAAA